CCATTGAACATGGAATCTCCATCAATTGGAGCCAACTTGAGGGCAACTAACAATAACAAGCTGAACGTAAGTGCTGTAAGTCAGGAATCCCACAAAAGAAACAACTTATATCCAGGAGAGAGCTCAAAATGTTACTTAACAGTGCCCTGGAACCAGTCTCAACTAGAGTTGCCTTCATTGACTGCCCTATGGAGTGCAAGCAGGCACACACGGAGTGAATGTAGGTAAAGACCCCCTCTTTTCCTCCATGTCCAGCAAGTCACATCGCCATCACCTTCACGCGTGGAAGACGGAAGAAGACAGTGGCTATTGCCTCACTTCCCAATATTGAAAACCCTTATGCTCACTTGAAAAACCTTTTGTCAGTACAAAAGCAGTACTTTCTGCAAATTCTGAAATGGTATATAATTTTATGTTCAGTCAAACATTATTAGCACTATCTGTGGACCACAGTAGGACCATCTGGCAGGCATATTATTTGGGACACAAATCCCAATCTGAATTAAGAAAAAGAAGAAGAAACAGTACATAAAATGCCCAGTTAACTGTTAGCCAGGGCTCCAAATGAAAACATATGCATGAGTCATTTAGAACTTACAAATAAATAAAAACGGAAAGGTCAGAAATGGTCTTTCTTCCTCACTGTTACTAGACCTTTGAAATAAGCCCAGGAAATGCATGCAGGTGGTTTTTTGATTAATTTGATAGAGGTACATCCATGGAACCAATTTACAAGTGATTTGCAGGCAGGCTGGCATTACTGAAATAAACGGTGCTATTACTATGATTTATGCTACTATTCCTAACACAAATGATAAAGTGAAATTTACAGCCCTTAATTACCACCATGAAAAATTGGGAGGGAGAGAAAAGAGCAAAGATTAGCAATTTGCAAACTTGTCAGTAAGGCAAGATGAAAAAATCCATTTGCTTTATTTGAAAAAAAAAAGGGGAGGGGGCAGGTTGCGGGTAAAGAAAGAATTTGAATAAATGGACCTAACCATATTGTTATCAATCCAATGGTGGAGGGGAGGACGTTCAAAAAACAAATGGCCAGAACTTAACCTTGGGGTAGTAGGAACCATAGTTTAGGAAAGCATGTGACCAACAAGCAGCCTCCAGCTAGGAAGAGGAGTAAGGTAACAAAACACTGTACATTACTCTGGGTCATGCGCAAGGCCCAATTCGCTCTTGAAGCACTTTCCATTATTCTGTTCAAGTGTTTTATAGCAGGGGAAAGTGAAAAGTAAAGGAATATTGTCTGAAATTTGAACTAAATCATATATTTTGTTCTTGTCTAATTCATATTAAGACATACTAGAATTCCGTGTGCTATTGAAAGATGCTTACAGAAATGCTGTTATCCAAAGAATGTTAAAAAAAAGCTATGCAGAAAACTTAATATGAAAGACGTATAACCGCCTCCCCGGGGGACGGACCACAGGGAAGTGGGGGAAGGGAGACATCAGACCGTGTAAGCTATGACAAAATAATAATAATTTATAAATTATCAAGGGTTCATGAGGGAAGGGGAACAGAGAGGGAGGGGGAAAATGAAGAGCTGATACCAAGGACTTAAGTAGAAAGCAAATGTTTTGAGAATGATGAGGGCAACAAATGTACAAATGTGCTTGCCATACAATGGCTGGATGGATGGATTGTGGTAAGAGTTGTAGGAGCCCCCAATAAAATGATCAAGAAAGAGAAAGACATAGCTGAAGTATTGCCTTTGTCAAGATGCTGGGGATAATATGAATACCCACTAGCTGCGTCCATTTTCCCATTCTTTTCCTCATCCTCTATCGCTTCCTAGTTTAAATGCCTCCATTGCCTTTCAGTGGGTTCCTATTTATAGCAACTCTAGATAATATTTCCAAGGCTGTAAATCTTTACAGGAGCAGATAGCCTCATCTTCCTCCCTCAAAGTGGCTGGTGGGTTTGAACTGCTAGACGTTCACCGTACAATCACACATAATTCCCAACACTCATTTCTTTTCATGACTGACTGCTCCAGAAAACGCTTCAGAGTCAAACAGGCTTTCTAATCAAGACTTGCAAAGTTTGATTCAATTAATGATAATCCCAGGTAGGGGTCACTTATACTTGTCCATGCTCTGATTCATTTTGAAACATAGGAACTATAACGAGACACGATAGGTGATTGGATATGAGAAGCAAAGGATATGGAAGAATCAAGGGTAACAAGTTTTTCGTTTGCCTGATAGATAAAACACGAGTTAATTATAAATGAGGAAAGATAGAACCAAAAGGTGGGCATTGGTATTAGATTTCAGAAATGTTAGATTTGATCTGCTGGCAGAATATCCAGACGTAGACAGCCAAATCAACCCAGTAGAACTCCTTGCCATCAAGGCGATTATGGTGCATAGTCATTCTGTAGGGCTGGGTAGAACTGCCCCTATTAATTTCTGAAACTTTCGATCTTTTTGTCAGTAGACAGCCATGTCATTCTCCCAGAGAGCAGCTGGTGGGTTCGAATCACTCACTCTGGGGTTAGCAGCTCAGGGCGTAGCCCACCACACTACCAGGGCTCCTCTATGACCAAATAAAGGAACTAAAGCTCACTGTCATCAAGTTGATGTTGACACACAGAAACCCTATAAGACATGGTACAATTTCCCCTGTGGCTTTCCAAGACTGTAACTCTGCATTATTAGAAATATTGGACGAAAAATGAAGCTCAGGAATAAGGATAGGGCCAGAGATGCAAATCTGGGTAAACTCTGAGTAGAAATGAAGGCTGAAAGCATAGGAGGAAATCAAGGGTAAAAGCGCAGGAAGAATGATTGGCCATAGGAAAGAATGTAAAGACATGAGCGCTGAGTGTAAAACAAAGAGGAAATATATTTACAAGACCAAGAAGAGAGAATTAGACCAAAAAGGACTAGTCAAAGAAGAACTAAAAGAAACCTAAAAATAATGTCATTTTAGACAATTTCATAACAGGGAATTTGGCCCTGCCTACACTGCAAGTCCTCCTTTGTGTTTCTCTTTGCTGGGAGATGCCCTGGGCTGCAGAATAATTCTTCAGCCTTCCTAACAAAATGGCATCATTGCCACTTCTGAACTTGGTAACTAAACAATGTGAATATTATTGTAACCAATATCAGAGGATGTACACTGGTACAGATAGGAACTGGAAACACAGGGAATCCAGGGCGATGATCCCTTCAGGACCAGGGGTGAGAGTGGTGATACCAGGAGGGTGGAGGGAAGGTGGGGTGAGAGTGGTGATACCAGGATGGTGGAGGGAAGGTGGAGTAGAAGGTGGAGTAGAAAGCATTGGCCCACTGCTTACCACTGCATCATCAGGGCTCTGCTGTGCACACTGAATGGTAAGAATCCACCCCCCTGGCTATTCTGCTCATAGTCCTGAAGGCGGTGATTCAGAAAAGAGACATATAACCTTCTTCCTGGGGGGTGGGCAACAGAAAAGTGGGTGAAGGGAGACATTGAACAGTGTAAGATATGACAAAATAATAATTTATAAATTATCAAGGGTTCATGAGGAAGTGGGGAGGGAGGAGGGGAAATGAGGAGCTGATATCAGGAGCTCATGTAGAAAGCAAATACCTTGAGAATGATAATGGCAACAAATGTACAAATGTGCTTGACACAATGGATGTACGTATGGATTGTGAGTACGAGCCCTCAATGAAATGATTAAAAAAAAAAGATCAGAGCCTTTTACAACCACTAGTAAGCACTAGAGACTTCATATTTTTAATTGCCTGCCATCTCATTTCTGACAGAAGCTCACCTGAAGAAAAACGAAGTCAGTTTAGAGACGTTAGCATCACTGGGGCACAAGCTACTAATAGAAGATCTCAGATTTTACTCCAGATCGATTGAATCAGAATCTGCATTGTAAACAAGATCCTGATGATTTGCTTACAAACTGAAGTTTGAGAAGCAATGGTCTAAGAGATCGATAGCATGTATTAAGCACAGATGAAAGGTAAAGCAGACACCACAGGCCTAGCGTCAGAGTACCATAATAAAAGTGGTACAGGGTATTGTGTTAGTCTGCTAACTGAAAAAATCCCAAGTTCAAACCCACCAGCTATTCTGGAGGTGGGGTGGTGGAGGCAATCTGCTTCTGTGAAGATTCCACTCAGTCCTGTAGGCCTGCTATGATTGGAGGTGCGTCTAGGTCAATCAATTTCACTGCCAATCTTTGGGCCCACTGCTTACCACTGCATCATCAGGGCTCTGCTGTGCACACTGAATGGTAAGAATCCACCCCCCTGGCTGTTCTGCTCATAGTCCTGAAGGCGGTGATTCAGAAAAGAGACCAAGGGATTCTTTCCGGGAAAAACTAGAACAGCTCTAGAGAACCTACTTATAGAGACAGACCACTGGGCACAAAGGGCTCCCAAGGAAACGGCAACATTTAGAGGTCCCAGCGTCATATCGACAGGTAGGAATCACCCAGTATTTGAAAAAAGGCTACAAGGGGAAAGAACAAACATACACATGGAACTCGGGGACAAAATGGAGCAATAAAGGTATATAGCAAGTCTTATTAATGAATTACCTTTAAAACATCCCAGCTAATTTGTGAACGTCCCATGCACAAGAGGTCTAGTCAAGGTCTTTTCAACTCTTAAATTTGCTTCCTTATTCCATAATTATGAAGATGAAAAGGAAGGTTTAAAAAAAGTATATAGTCAAACCACTAGAAATATTACTCATTGCCATTGAGGCAATACTGACTCACAGCGACCCAGGGCGGGTTTCCAAGGTTGTATTGTTTTCAGGAGAAGAAAGCCCAGTCTTTCTCTGGCCGAACTGCTGGTGGTTTTGAACTGCCAACCTTAAGGATTTCAGCCCAATACCTAACCACTGCCCCAAAGGGCCCCATACTAGAAAAACAGAAATATTCTGACTTCTCACAACATTTAAGCCAGCATTTTAAGGCACCTCTGGTCATTATACAACAAGTCAAATCTGTTCAGTAATAGCTCTGAATTACTTACCATAAATGCATCACGATCTGAGAGCAGAAGCACTAGATGCTGCCCATGCCTGGCCACACAAAAGGAAAATCATGACAGAGTTAAATTAGGCAGGAGACTCAAGCATTTTTAAAATTACATTGTCATCAAACTTTTCATAGATAAAGTTATTTAATCTTTTTCATGATTTTCTAGTAGCTCCTTCTTAGAATCCGCAAGGTACTTAACTGATTAAAGCTAAAAATGAGTGCTGCTGGGACACAAAATATGGACATTTGTATCCTTCAAAGAAATGGATTTGTATTTTGCAATTTGCACAGATTATATACATGTCTTCCATTAAAAAAACCGACCTACTATTATAGGTGTAGTTAAATATCCTCCAGAAGTCCAAGTTTGATTTAGATTTCAGGCCTTGTTTCTATTTAAAGAAGCAATTAATTACCAGGTAAAATAAAATCAATTTTAGGACCAGCTGTTTGGATTCATGTTAATAATGTTCAACACACTGTACATAATACACTAAAATATTCTGCTTACAAAATTGTCAAAAAGATGGCAATGTACCAACAGCTTCCCAACACACAATTTACTGCCTTCAAACAAGATGTGTTTACATTTCAACCAAAGTCTGAATTTAGTACACCTTTACCCAATGTCATATTTACAAGATCAGTAACCCAACTGTCTCATCAGAAAAGTTACAGAAAGATTATTTTAGAGCTTTCATTTAAGAATTAAGATTATCAAAAATAATTATTTTTAACTAGCAATTTTTAAAGTTCATGGCATAAGTATAGTGAATTGCAGAAGTTAATATTTTATTTCTTGAAATATCTTATCATTTGTCATGCTTAATTTATTTAAGATAATGAAAAAAAAACAGGGACAATTCAATAGTTTAAAATCAAATTGAAAACTTTACCTCATGATTTTTAAATGTAACTTCTTCTGATGTTTCCTAACTACAGCATAACTGTTTTATTTTCTATTCTCTCTTATATGTTATTCTGGCTAAGGGTGCATTTTCCAGCCACCCTTGCAGGTAGATTAGAAGTTCTCAACCCTCCTAATGCCACGACCCTTTAATACAGTTCCTCATGTTGTGGTGACCCCCAACTATAAAATTATTTTCGTTGCTACTTCATAACTGTAATTTTGCTACTCTTATGAATCGTAATGTAAATATCTGATATGCAGGATGTATTTTCATTGTTACGAATTGAACATAATTAAAGCATAGTGATTAATCACAAAACAATATGTAATTATATATTGTGAAATATTTGTGTTTTCCGATGGTGTTAGGTGACCCCTGTGAAGGGTCATTCGACCCCCCAAAGGGGTCGCAACCCACAGGTTGAGAACCGCTGAGCTAGATGTTATACTCTGTGATTGAGTTTGGAGAAAATGTGTTACATATTTAATAAATAAAACTTGTTCACCGAAAAAGCAAATATAAGAACAATATTTAACAAGCATATGGGAACGAATTTCAATTAAATACAGGAAATTATTTTATAACAGGGGCATTCTTTACAAGATATTGAGCTTCTAACACTACATTTTCCTTCCAAACAAAGGCTGGACAACATGCTTCATTAATAAGATGAAAGGACATAGTCTCAGAAACTCGCAGGTGCAGTTCTACCCTGTCCTCACTATGAGTCAACATCTACCCTGTCCTATAAGATCACTATGAGTCAGCACCTAACCTGTCCCATAGGATCACGATGAGTCAGCATCTAACCTGTCCTACAGGTCACTAGCAATGAAGAGTCAGTCAGTGAGTGAGTAGTCTCTTGATCTATTTGGGTTGTTGGCCTCTTCCACCTTGTACAAGTTCTGCAGAAACATAATGAAATGTTCTGAAATTCTCATTCTTCTCAATACTATGCATTGTTTCTTATGATTCACACAAATGCCTTTGCATAGACAATAATGAAACACAAGTAAACATCTTTTGGTATTCTCCACTTGCAGCCAAGATCCATCAGACATCAGCAATGATATCCTTCATGATATCCCTCAATGATAACACGTCCTCTTCGCAATCCAGCTTGAATTTCTAGGAGCTCCCTGCGTATGTCTTACTGTAACTGTTGTTGAAAGATCCTCAACCAAATTATATTTGCATGTGAATTAATGATATTATTGGACAATTCCACATTCTGTTGAGTCATTGTTCACTGGAATGGGCACAAAGAAGTACAAGGATCTCTTCCAATTGTTTGGCCAGTACCTGTTTTCCAAATTTCTTGGCATAGACAAGTGAGCAATTCAGTGCTTGATCATTAAGATAGATAGTTTATTGTGCCAGCCTGGCCAATAAACACATGTGTGACTGATTGAAGGACGGAGAGATAAATGGCTCATGAGCCTCACCTTCTTGTCTCTCGCTCTTTGATCATCGGACCAGTGTGTGGCTGCCTTGCTTGTTCTTTGCCTCCATTTAGAGGCTACAGTACCTGTGGCATGCCTAGCCTGTGGACTGTGTCACTGTAAGTTGAGGTCCCTTTAACCACGCTATTGGAATGTACATCTCTGGAGCTGGGGTCTGACAGTTGGTGACCTGGCTGACAGTTGGTGACCTGCCTTGCTGTTTGCTGTGTGTGCTGAGATAGCCTAGCTCTCTCTCTACAGAGGACTACCTGGTGGCCCTCAAGACTCAAACGACTGCCAGTGTCTCACAACTTTCTAACACGTTTGAATTATACTGAGCCATTTGTACTGCTTTATAATTTAACTGTTCATTTCTTGTATCATATATCTATCTATCTGTATATAATTTAACAGTTCATTTCTTGTGCTACATATTTATCTATCTTTATAATTATATATATATATAATTACTAGTAATCTGGTTTTGTCTCTCTAGAGAACTCTAACACAATCACCTTGTTGAAACAATTAAAATAATTTCAATTAGCATTTGTCAAAGCCTAGAGCCTTGTCTTTCTCTAAAGTCTTCATTGCAACTTGGATTTTTTTTCTTCAGCATCATTGGTTCTTGTTTATATGCTATCTCTTTAAGTGGATCAGTGTCAACCAGTTACTTTTAGTAGTTTTTCTGTGTATTCATTACATCATCTTTTCCTAAATTACTCAATATTTTTTCCCACAGAATCCTTCAATGTAGCCACTCAAAGCTTCATTTTATCTTCAGTTTTTTCAGTTTGAGATATGTTATGCGTCTTCATCATTTTGGGCTTTCTGGTTTTGAAATAGATGGACCTTAAAATCTCTTGATGAATACGTGAGATTGAACAAGAACTGATGACTCTGAATTTTGTGTGGTGTTGGTCAAAAATATTAAATAGACTATGTACTGCCAAAAGAGCAAACAAATCCATGTTGTAAGAATTACAGCCAGGGTCCCACTGTAAGACACGCCATCCCATAAATTACTGAGACTAATTAAATGATTAGAAAAGAATTATTTGGCGCTTTAATTGTAATCTCTTATGTGATACAAAGTCTCATGTTGTTCTTTTCCTTAAGGGGAAAAAAGATAGTCACATTTTCCAAACAAAATATCCTTGAAAATCTCAAGGATAACCTCCAAATTGGAAGTATAGAAATAAAATTATGCCTCATACTTTAAAGAATAACTTCATTGGAATTGAAAAATCTCTTTCATTTATAATTTATAGTATCCATACTGGACTGATAGATGCTAAAATCACAGAGCAATTGACTATTTTAGTTTATAACACCATGCTTGTTGACTTTTTGCCATACTTACATTTATATCTACCCTAGATTCTTTCAATTACAAACATCTTGGTTAATGGCTCCTTCCAAATTAATAGCATGTCTTATTTTAAACAAATAAGACAAGGGACTGTACTGTAAGTGGGTCTCAGAAATATTTTTATTCAAATTTAGTGAGCACTTACTCAGTACCTGCTCATGCTCTGGGCAATGGAATCATGAACATATGGGCTTCCAAGTCAAGTGCTTCTGTGTTTGAATCCTTTTTGAAGAGAAAGCCCAGAGGTAATCTCCTGAACACAGCTGGATAGGCCACTTTAAATTTTAGAGATAAACGTTTAAAACATCTCATCTAGAAATTTTCTTCTACATGAGTACTAGAGTAAAGTGTGGTGCAGAAACCAAATAGTGTCCAGCTATCAGGAAGAACAATGTCTGGAGTCTCCAAGGCTTGTCTTAAAACAAGCAAACATCTAAGTGAGGCATCCGCTAACCACATGAAGAAGCACACTTGCCTGTGTGATCCAAGGATTATAAATAATAAAATCCCAATCTAAGGCAGGAATGGTATCGGAGCTTAAATTGTAAACACCTGTTTTGCAGAAGGCTGTGGATGACAGTGGAAGCCCAAAATTCATTTTCAGGGTCCAAACATGGGTGGAGCCTCGGGTGAATCCCCTCTAAACAAAGCCCAGGGATATGAATGGCCTTGCTGTCAGACAAAGAGCATGATAAAGTCAATTATGGCAGATGTAGTTAGGTTAAAACGTACAACCTTCTCATTTTACTCCCTTTGGGTCCATTTTAAAATTGTTTCCGTTTTTAATATTTTCCACTTTCTTTTTTATTGGGGTTTTCTCACTGTTGTTTGGGATTTGTGTGTGTGTATGTGTGTGCGCACGCGCTTACCTCCTGTTTCATATCATTTTCTGTATATGAAATCCAGGATAGGTAAATCTAGAGAAGCAGTAGCTGCCTTAATAATTACCTAGAGCCATAGCCTGGGAGGATGGAAAAATGGGAAACTAATAACAATGAACAAGAAGAGATTGTTCTGAAATTAATTGTGGTGATAATTATACATCTCTTCTTAATGTGATTGAACAACTAAGTTGTCTGACACATGAAACATATACAAATAAAACAATGTTTTAAGAAAGAAAATTTCTTTTAAATTATGCTTATTTTTGATTCATAGACAAAGCATAGAAAACATAAGGGATGTGTGTGTGTGGTGTGTTGCTTATTTAGTGAAGTTGAATTGAGATCACAAATATCCTTAAAACTATGGTCATAGCTCTTGCCAGGTGTCCTCATGGGAGTGACATCGTCTTTAAAGCTTGGTGACAATCGCTGACACCGTGCCATGATGCCCAGGGAAGACAAGGCAACCTGGAATGCCAACGACCTCTTTCAGATCATCCACCTTTTATACAAAATGCTCTATTATGGGAGCAGACAAAGTGGGCTTCACAAAGGGGCCAGAGGTCCATATGGCCCTCTGCAGGAATGAAGCGGTGTGCACAGGCAAGAACACCCTCATGAGCAAGCTCATCCACGGGCCCCTGGAAAACAACCCGGCTCTGGAGAAACTGTTGCTTTATAAATAGCAGTAAGGTGAGATCTATGTTCACCAAGGAGGACATCATTGAGATCAGGAACATGATACTGGCCAACATGGTGTTAGCTATCACCTGCGCTGGTGCCATCACCCCATGTGAGGTGACTGTGCCAGCTTAGAACACTGCCCTGCGTCCTCAGAAGCCCCCCTTCTTTCAGGCTTTGGGCATAACCATGAAGATATCCAGAAGCACCAATAAATCCTCTGCTCCATGCAGGCAGTTGATCAAGTCTGGAGAGAAAGTGGGAGCCAGCGAAGTCACCCGAGTGAGCATGTTGGATATCTCCCCCTTCTCCTTTGGGCTGATCATCCAGCAGGGGTTTGACAAGGGCAGCACCTACGACCCCACAGTGCTGGACATAACAGAGCAAGCTCTGCACTCTCGCTTTCTGAGATGTCCGTAATGAAGCCAAAGTGTGCGTACAGGTCTCATTCCCAACTCTTATCTTTGTGCCTCATTCAATCGTTCGTGGGGTCAAGCAGGTCTTGGCTCTGCTATGGAGGCTGAGTACACCTTCCCACTGGCTGAAATGGTCAAGGCTTTCATATCTGATCCGTCCGCATGTGTGGCTGCTACCCTTTTGGCTGTCCCCCAGCTGCTTCAGCCAGGGCTCGGTGGCAGGGCAAGGAAGCAGGAAGAATCAGAGGAGTGAGACGAGGCTATTGTTCTTTT